GTGGTGTAATAGGCTCACTTATTTTTGTCGGCACATTAGTGGCTGCTGGCTTTATACTGTATCGAAGAAGACACAGAGCAAGAATGTCTGATCTACTTATAGACACGAACAAACAGATTTGCTCCGACACAAATCGCCAAGTTTACTATGATATAAATCGTCAGGTTCTCTCAGATACGAATAATCGAGTTTACTCGGATACAAATCATAAGGTTTATTAATGTGAAATATGTGCAACCTTTTTGAATTTGACTTATACTACAATATTAGAATAATAACTAATTACAGAGTTTTAGGTTTATATTGTTTAATATAGCTACATATAAATCATTATGAATAAGTAGACAATTTGATTTAATATTGTACGTTTACAATAAAATTAGAATAAAGCTTTTCTTGCATTATTGTTATACTTTTATGGATCCCTAATTTATTCCACCAGTTCTGATTAGGCATGTGTAAATGCCGTCTCCGATTGGACAAAGTAGACTACGCAACTCTTCGTCTACCAATCAAATTATAAGATTCGGTATAACATAAATTCCAGCTAGTAACTTAGAAACCACCTTTCGTTGTTCTAACAATATATATATATATATATATATGCCAAATATTAGTATAATATATGTCTTATTAGGCTTATATACTGTTTCAACGATATTTGATCGAGTCAAAAATTTCTAAGTCTGATGAAATCTATTTCGAAAACGAGATTTCTATTCGTTCAATAGGAACTGGTGAGAAAGATTTTACAACCTTACATGACACTTAAAATAAACTTAAATTACAGTATTATGTGTAGATTCAATAGATTCATTTGTTTCCGCGACCAGTTACTAATTGATCCGTGGTACGAGGTGGATGAGACTCTCAATATTTTACACAATGTATGTACATACAGTACGTACGTCCTAGTAACCGAAATGTGCAACAGATTAATACCTAATTGAATTTTTTTTCATTTGAGACCTCTACACAATAAGGGGAACAATTTTTATACTTTATCAGAACAATTATGAAATTTCGTTCTTTCTATAAGTTCGTAACACTTCTATTATATGTCTTTTTCATCTTAGTTGTGAATATTGGGGTTTTTAGTCAGAACTGTGGGATAAATCAACCACCGAAACCAAATACGATTGTTGGATATTATCCAGCTTATAAATATAATTTAAAAGCGAATGATTTTAATATTAGTTCGTCAATTACTCATTTAAACTATATTGGTATGTATAATTCAATGACTTTCAATTATTAAAATGGATTAACTTAAACGAATGTTGTTTGATTTGGATTCTTGTAGCATTTGGCCCAAATGATCTTACTAATGGCACCGGCCCATACACTGTGTTCCGAAATCAAACCAATATAAATAAATTTGGTGAATTGTTAAAATATAAAGGGAACAATAGTAATCTGAACTATAAAGTAAATAAATATATTTCAAAAGACTTATTAAAATAATGACTTATGATAATGACTAATTGGCTATTTTATAGTTAATTCTTTCAGTCTTGTTACCTGTTAATGATGATTTAACAAAACTCCCACCGTTTTCTAATGTTCCAATTGGACTGTACGATCCAAATAATCAGAATACTCGCAATTTCACAGACGATTTAGTTAAAATTGCTAACGAATACCAATTTGACGGGGTAAATTTAATTCTTTGTTTTACGTTATTCAATAGTTAATAATTAACTAATTATATACTTTCTGATTAACTTGCAGATTGATATTGACTATCCTAATAAGGCTTCATGTTTTCAAGCAAAACCATTCAATTCTGATTTTCTAAATCAAGTGTTCAAATCATTTCTAAATGATATATCAAGCAAATTAAAACAGCCTAATAGCAGTAAAATTTTAACTGTTACTGGAGGCAGTAATCCCATAATTTTAGATCCTACCGTCATTAATTTTGTAAATATTCAGGTAAGATTAAACTTTTTTAAAGTAAAGTCATGAATGTTTATTTATTTACTTATTTATAAAACTTTAGGCATATCGACTTAACATTAACAGCAACGTTAATGGAAATCCCACACGTACCAGTGCTGGAATAGATGCGGTTCAGAGTCTTATTGATTCCTGGAACTTTAGCAACAGATCACAACTCATTTTGGGAATCGAATTTGGCGGCATTATTGAAGCTATTACTTTGAGAAATCCGAGTAATCCTAATCCTAATATGGATATCGCTATTCAAAATTTTGATGTAGTACGTTCTCAAAACATTACATTTCCACCTGTTACTATTGACGAAAACATTACAGATCCGTGTGCAAATACGTCATTCGCGCATTTGTCATGGAAAACTCTGAGCAATTTCTTAGCACCGCCTTGTTATACAAATACCAGTAATGATTGGTACTATGGCTTTGATAATAAATCCAAACAACCATATATTTATCAACAACAACCACGGCCGCGTCCGAATAAAGGGAGTCCGTCAGCAAATCAGCAACCAACTGTCTATTATTATATCTCTTATGAAGATTACCA